AATAACTAGTTAAGTAACCTAAACGGGACAGTAGATGATGTGAATAGTATGTCAATGGAGGTCACTATTACTTGCAACAAACACCTAATTTATTAAAATTTATTCAAATCTATGAACACCCATTAATAATGTTACTTAACTAGGCTATTCCTCCCACCCACCATAGATTTGTGGATGATGCTTTCCTGCTGGAATAAGATAAAAGTTCCCCTCAATGAGTTAGATAAAATACCAGAGTTACATTATATTTAACTAAAATAATTAGCAAGGTTGCGGTATGTTTTTACTATAATACTGTATGACTCATTTGGACCATATTCGGTAAAATATCCGCATTCAATATTTATCACAAGTACAATGATTATTTAATTTATTTTTAGAAACATCAATTAATTAAATGGTATATAAGTTAAATGGCAATTATGAATTTTATTTAATAAATTTAGAGACCAAATAAATAACAATTCGATGTCTAAAATATTGTTATCGAGTATATTACTGGCACTAGTTGGTATATCTTACCAGAATGTGGACAAACTGAGCTTGGTGGTCTACTGTGCAAGTCTGTGTGGGCCCTGTATGAACTTCCTAACCACTCAACTGATCCCCACTTACGATAAATTGAGTGATATATTAAACGTCGAGTTAATCCCACTTCAAGTGAGTTATAAGAAAGTCCTCAAAAGCGACGGCACTTTCGACACAGAGTTTCAATGCATGCATGACTTGCAGGAGTGTATTGGCAACAGAATATGGGTTTGTATTCATATATTACGGTATAATTAAATTATTTATTAAGATATTTTAACTATAACAACATTTGCATTATAGGGGTGTGCGTGGAAACAGGAGTCCCACAAACGGACATTTGATTTAATTGAATGCATGTATAACTCGACCGATCGGTTAACCCCGGGAATTGCCGCCAAACAGGTATTCAATAAGTTTTTAAAAACTTTTATATTTTATAATAATATGAGAAATACGTGTAAATAAAGTGCTCTCAAGAGTTGGCCTACAATTGGACGGCAATTGACGAGTGCTCGTCCGGACCGTTGGGAAGGGGTTTACAGTTAGAGGGTTTTGAAAGGCAACAGAAAGTGGTGCCACCCGTGAGGGGAACTCCATGGGTGCTACTGAATGGCGAGAATATATGGAGTAAACACGCGTGGGAACGGCTGTTTGAGATTGTTTGCGAGACATACACTGTACGTATTGATTGAAATTTTGAATAATGAATAGAAATTTGTTAATGTATTCACTATAGGGACCAAAACCCGATGTCTGTACACAGGAGTCACTAGACTTTCAATCAATTCTTTAAACTTTGAAAGATTTTTAATTAAATAAACATATTATTATTGCAATATACTGGTAGAATTTTTATTCAATACAATATACTGGAAATAATCAATTTGAATTAAGTTTCATAATATTTAGTTGTTATAATAAATAACAGTGAATGAATTATTTATTAATTATTTAGTGAATTAATTCACTAGATTTCAGTATAATAATAGAAACAGTGTAATAGATAAAGTTCAAAAAAATTTGCGAATTCACTCACAATTAACAAAATTCTTGAGTAAATAAATCTATAAAATAAATAAGCAATTAATTGACAACACATTATGAGTTCCCCTTCTGATACACAACCAGTGTCTCCAGCAGACCACAGACTAGAAGGCCTAAAATGGACAGTTGTCTCATTCTGTATCATCGATATAATAATCGGTATATTAGTGGTAAGTCTCACATCAGTAGGTATTAACATCGATGATGAGGAGGAATATTATGCTATCAGCAAAACGGTACACAATCTAAGCCACAAAAACTATTTAACATTGATTACAAAAAATTATTTCAATTTTACAGCAAAAGGCAATCGTAATAACGATAGGAGTGGCGGGTATTTGCATACAATTCGTGGGCCTATGGGCCGTACATAAGGAAAGTTATTACATGACGGGATCGTACGGTACGATACTGTGCTTTATAGCCGGGTTCAGTATCGCGTGGGGACTGTTACCCGGGTATGAGTACGTATGGGTGATGACCATTATATATTTCGTGAGCAGTTTAATGGCGCTGACATTTGCCCGACATATACGGCGCGTGAGGCTACAGGCGCCCGAAAGACCTGTGTATATGTCTACCCGATCCACAAATGCCATAATTATGACACCTGCCTATCAATACCCGGCTTATACACCGCCAACGAGGACAGTACCCGTGCCCGACAATCCTCCCACTTATGAACAGTCTATGGCTTATATTAATAGTAATCCGTTTGGGAAGCCTATGAACACACCTGTGCTTAGTTATCCGTCAGAGCCGTCAGCACCGGCACCATCAACAGCACAGGGATGGCATTCATAGGAGTTCATGTGATATAATTAGATATATTAAAAGTTTATTTGTTGATAAAAGTTAATTTTGACATAATACTATCTATTAATCTATTAATTAACCAAACAATAAGGTATACAATCTTTACACAATGCTATTATTTTGCAATAGCATAGCTAATAATTTAATTTAATTTAATTCTCAATTGTAATTCAGTGCTACTAAACGCCCAGACATTGCAAAACACCAGTACTTATCTACTGTATATTGTAGTAATGAATAATAAATTGTTATAAATGTATTGTACTCCAAGTACAGGGTTGTTGATATGATTTATGATTTTTACATTGAATTAAATGCTTTGAACGTGATTTCATCAAAATCTGAGCGCCGCTGTAATGAACAGACACTTTACGAGTGAATAATAAAAGTAAAATCTCTTATATTAACAATAATTAAAAACTATATATTTTTCTATGCTTTTGAGTACTTTTATTACACGTGTTGTCAATAGTTATGCGATTGTTGATAAACTAGATATAGTAATAATTAATTTTATTGACAACTTAACCATCATTGGCATTATTAATTGATAAGTATTTATCACAATAAGGTAAGGTGGTATTTTGTTAAGTGTCAATATGATGTCACTTTGCTTTTTAGTAGCAAGGTAATGCTTTGTTTATTAAATGAAAAATTAATACGATATATAGATTTCTTATTATAGATTCCGTATTTGTATATTATTTCACAAATGTTATGAAATCGTTATACAAAAAGCATATGATTTAATAAGATTTTTGAACAGGTTGTTATTAGTGCAAAGCTATAATAAAAGTATTACTAATACTTATACCAAATGTACTGTACTCAACAGTACTTGTAACGTAATAGTTTTAAACGTATTAAAGTAATTAAATATAATCATAAGTGTTATAAGCAAAATCATGTACATAACATTGTAACAATTCATTTATAATGCTATTTGCCTTACAGTTCATGTTTTGAATACTACAACGAGACATGCCTTGGTGCAATAACTGTACCAGGCCTAAATATTGGTACGATTACTTGAAATGGTCACTATTAGCCCTGTGTATTACCACGATCATTGCTGTGGTTATAATTACCATGTTTTCCAGTTTTGATATTAATGATCAGGAAACTTTTGAAGAGAATATTACTATAGACTTAACTGTAAGTCAAAATACTGTGTTTATTAAATTATTTACTATAATTACATGTTCATTTATATTTTTATCACTATACAGAATAGGATACGAATTCTAAACATAGTTATCGGGGTCATAGGCAGTGTATCACCATTTTTTGGCATATGGGCTACTTATTACTGCCACGAAAGGCCTCATATATTACGTATATATGGAGTACTCATGACAATCATGAGTAGTATGAGCATAACCCTGGCTATTTTATCGGCAATACCCCTGGTGTTTGTGTTGACCATCTTATTTATTACGAATAATGTGTGTTCAGCTATTTTAGAGCTAAAAATAACCAAGCTAAAGAAAAATCGATCAATTAATTTAAGCAATGTGCTTGGTGACCAGCTAGGTAAAACTAATCATGGCTTTATGGCAGATAGTTTACAGCACTCTATGAAGGTATCTGTTATTTCGCGCAATTCTATAAATTACCCAGAACATCAACCAAATGTATAACTAGTTAATAAATATTTGATGATTTATTTGATGTTTTACAGTATAATAAACTGAAATATTACTTAAAAGCTATTAGTAAATATTTGTATAAGATGTGATATTTGCAAATGTCATTGTGCATTAAATAAGCAGTGTCATGTAATTGCATTTTATAAATGTACATGTACAATATTGTAAATAAAATTATTGTTTTTAAAATTTTATTATCTCTAACCTTTAATTTTGTCCGCGTATTAATTACTAGGCAGGTGTTGATAAATATTACTAGTTATTTTTAATTTTTACTATGGGGTTTAAATTAGAAAGCAAATATTGGAACTCATGCCCAAAATGGACACTGGTGCTATTATCATTAATTACAGTTATTGTGACTATTGTCGTAACAGTTTTGGCGGACTCCAGAATTAATTTACAAATTAGTATCAATACTAATGATACTGAGATACAGTATTACCACGTATGATATTA